AAGAAGGCAAGTTTATTTTGGGAACTATGGCGTTCACTTGCGCCGATGCGCTAGGCGCTATGACACTAGGCGTCGTTGCAAATAAACTATAATTAATTGCCTTTGTTGGGAAATATTGATAATCAAAACTAACTCTTACTTGGTCCTCAGTTGCAAAATCCTCATCAGGGATTAAAGTTATCACGACATTATGTTGTTTACTAAACTCAAATTGTATCGTGTCAATTTGCTCATTTTGCATTTTGAACAGAATATGTAGAGCTGACTCATTTTCAGCGCTTTTGGCTGCATTAAAAAGTTCCGTCATGCGATTGACTTCGCGGTTTAACGCCATGATTTCGCCCTTCTCAGCTTATCAGTCATTTTTTAAAAATAAAATTAACTGAATAAATGCAGTCCAAAATAAACAGTAGGTAGGTAGGTACTTATTTTTATTACAAATTTAAAAAAATATAGCTTTTGAAAATATTTCACACACAAATCAAAAATGAATTTCCGTCCTATTTGTTTTGCAAAATATCAATGCAATTTATTACCAAGCCAATAATATCAATGCGGTATTAATTTAGATTCAAAATTGCACGTTTTATTATTGCAATGGGTTGCATGCCAAAATCAATTGTTACACCGGAAAATATAATATGGAAATAGCAAATTGAAAAATATTATCCGGTAATTTATTGGCTGATTTTAATGGGCTTCCATCACAATACATTGTAAAACTACTACATTACAATAGCTGTTTATTAACCGCTTGCCATTGGGGCGTTTAATACATTGGCTTAAGCACGTAGACATATTCGTAAAAGCTTTAATGTATACGTTTAATGGCTAGAAATAGGAGTTTTGTAGACACAATAATAACCTTTGATTATGTTTAAGTTGATTTATTCTGATGTGTTGTTTGATGCCTCATAAATAGCGTGCTCAAGCTCCCCTTCGAACAACAGGCAGGTATAATAAACATATTTGTGGAAAACGGAATGCTGGAGTGGAGTGCCAAAATATACATATTTCCCAAATTTATGTTCAGTAAAAATTTTATTGTTGAGGTGAAGAGAAACTTATAGGAATGGTTTTCTCCCACAGACGGCATCATTTTTCTAAATAGTGTTCGGAACTTCATTTTGATTATACGACAAATAGCGAGTAAGAGGAAAAGAAAAAAAGTTGAAATGTTGGCAAATGGATGGTACAATGGAGAATAAACCACTAATTACATTTGGAGGTTATTTGTGCTTCGGTCTCGTGTCAATTTCTCGAAACCGATAAAGGCACTTTACATACATAATTTTTTCTTGTTCCCTCGCCGAGCGCAAAATAGAATTTCTCGGAAGAGCACAAAGGTGTATTTTGCTTGTAATTGAGTAATTTGCATGAAACAACTTTCAACAAATTTGGTAATATATACCCTCCAAAAAATCACAAATTACCCTATATAATATTCATTTGAGTAATTACCTTTTTTATTTACGACTAATGTATAATGTGCGTATTATATTTGTGATTTTGGCAGTATAATGACATATGTTATTCCTCCAGGGATTAATGACGAGTAGCGGGATTAATGGTCATTATTCCACAAAAGTGTCAGTGTCAAACGTGTAGTGCTTGTGGATTTGTATTGAAAATTATGAGACAGATAAAATTTGTTCATTGAAAATCTCAAATAAATTAATTTGTCGTAAATAAAGTAGAGTATACTACTCGCAATAATGGCTATTATTCCCTCGGAATGTTACTCCCTCGCCGCTAACGCGGCTCAGTTCGTAATAATCCTCGGGAATAATAGCTATCATTATTGACTCGTGGTATAATCTACTATTAACCTCATCAAGGTAAATCAATATAGGATCATTAATCACCCTGTTTCAAATTGAATCTCAATCCATAATGAATATGCCAAAAACGCAAATTAATTTTCTGGGTAGCATTCAGGTAGCCTTAATTGGACTATGAAAATTACAAATAATGGGACTCGGTTTTGAATCAATTTATGCAATATCTCGTTCTCTGGCAGTCTGGGCTAATTATGTTTTGCAACATGCTAAATGTTACTATTTTTCTTTTTCACATATAAATTTTATAAGCTAAATTATTACCTTTAATGTTGACAGTCTGGTGACTGGTATTGTAAAAAAAAAGAAGATTTCTGTCGCCAATAACAATAGCAAATTACTAAACTAGAGGGCAACATTTTCGTTTAAATGAATCCGGATTCAGAGACCTTATCAAATTTGACGAACCAGCTTGGTACCACCTTTTTCGGTTGGCTATTTTTTTTGAAAGAAACCTCTGCCTGTAGAGATTGTCCGTTTGCTTCGTTCCTTCTTGAATCTTGCCGTTGCCCTGAAAAATCGACTGTGGCCGGGGGCAGCCATCTTCCGCAAGTGCGATTACTGTTCTCGTGGAAAAAATACCTTATCGGCCGTCAGGCATTATTTTAACGAAATAAAGTTGCGTAAGGCAATAATCCATTGATTTCCGAAAAAATCTAAAAAAAAAGTCTCGTGATTACCGTTTCATTTGAATTTGAATTTCGAACCCCCTCGTGATAAGTCCTTTTCATTTTTTTTTTTAAAGTACTTGTTGTTCATGGAATGTCTCTATTGCTTAGGGTTTTACCGGGGAGCCGTTTTGTCCGAGGAGCCGTTTCTCTCAACGAATCTATTTCCAAAAGGCCACATTTCTAAAAAGAACACCATTTTCGTTGAGCGTATGACAGAGCTTTTGAAAGGATTCCTACAGGAATCAAGACCCTCACGAGTCGATACGTGTGCCCCACATTTAACGACCATTGAGAACTTCTAGTCTCTATCTACCTTGATTCGAGCCTAGAATCTGCAACTTCCATTTGCCAGTCACTCGTCAAGTGGCGGAGAATGGATGGCTACCGTGCTCTACCTTTTGTTCTAATTGAGGCTTGTATAGAGTGTCGTTAAAAACTTTTATTATTTTTTTTTAAATGAAATCTGTTTTATAGTCAATTGACAAAATTAATTGATTTTTTTTATATGACTTACATACATATTTAAAATCTGGGTGATGGTGGAATAATTAACTTTCGATTTATCGAATTTATTATAGATTTATCTTTACTTTACTTTTACTAATCTCATATTTAAATAATGTACTTATATTTTATCATAAATAATAAATCAGTAATCTGAACAGAAGTCAAAGTTGGACAACATGCTCTAAATTCGAAATTATTAAGTAAGAACTGACATAATCGAAAATTAATCAATTTTTAACACTGGTTCCTATAACTTATATATTTGAGGATTTCTATTATATCTCCTGACCATTTAACTCTTATTTAACCCAACTTTCGATTTCATACAAATACATTTTCTAGCAGCAACTGTTAATGAATTTATATGGAGAGTATATTGAGGTACCTACATTGTGATATTAATTTTTTTGTTTTGAATTTGATGTAACAGATAGAGAGTTAACCTCTATTTATTGATTTTAGTCTGCTCCTGATATTCTCCATAGGATCGGTATTCATGTCCCATCAAGAACTATCAGAGCAGCCGTTAGTTTTTACTGCCTGACTCACCGTACTAATTACGGAATAAATATTTCCATTTCTAGCACTTCTAGACTTGCAAACCAACACTGTGGTATCGACTACTTTGGACCATTCCACCATTCAGTATCTTCTTGAGTCAGGTTACTAATATATTTGGATAAAATGTATGCTATATGAACTGCGGATTATTAATATTAGTTTAAATTAAATTTATTTGTCGTACTCAATGATAACTATCATTATTTCTTATTGAAAAATAATTTATTACTTTCAACAGGTACTTTACTTAGGCTAGAATCATTTAGTCTCTTTGTTAAATACTTTTAAATTTGTATTTATAGTTCAACATTTTTTGTAATTGGGCTCTACCGTTGATAACCAATGGACTCGACTCACACTCAAATATTGATGGTGCCAATGTATATGAAAAATGTGAATTTGAATCAAATATATAATTTAAAGGTTGCTCTGTCTGTGGTGGAGTAAATCCATACTCCATAATTAAAAAATGTTACTATAATACGCAAGTTGCACTAGTTATCCAATACGATATAAAGTCACGAAAATTTTATTATCAATAAAACGGTAAATTTTTTATTGAGCCATATTTGCGAAAACCTAAATTTATTTTCCCAGTGATGTCAGTAAGGAAACATCGTTATCTATGCACTTGGTTGAAATGCATGCATCACTTTTTGAGGGCGTTATTCCTGTATCTTTTATGCATGCTTCGTCGAGCATTAACTTAAAACACTTTTGAAATATCGCTATAGAACTGGATCGTTATTCAAATAAGCGAGACATATTTTCCATATTCTCTCCAAATTATTTTACTGTCTATTTTTTAGGAGATTTCTATTCTCTCTGGATTGTTTTGTTATAGAATTAGTAGCAAAGAGCGGCTTTCAATTTAAAATTGAGTTTAACCAACTGTATGCGACGGGGTGAATTTTAAACAAAGGAGCTCTTCTAAATTCAATCTAATTATGCTATCTTGGAATACTCAAAGTTTCGTGTTAGTGTTTTTAAGGAGAAATTGGGCTAATAGGATGAAAAAGCTTTATTGCTCGTAAGCTTAATTTCTTTCACGTCTGTAATGTATTTAGGTATAAAGGAAATAGTTCATTGTATCGCAGACGAAATAATTAGGAGTCGACGAGAAATCGGGAATTTGAACCTAGGACTAGATTATCAGCCAAGTCGTTCGTTACTTTTGCTAACTGCCGAAGGTTATAAGATTTGATCACTAAAACTTTTCAAGTTGACGACGGAAAGTCGATAGAAAAATGTTCGTTGGTAAAAAAAAAAGAAACTTTTCAGATATCTATCATTCTATTTCGAGTCAGATATTTAGATTTATTACCATCTTAAGAGGAGTTTGCAAAGTTGGCTGCCTGGATTTACCTAAACGGTTTATTGTCAGATTGAAATTGTAAAATTGGAAAGGTGAATAAGTACATACCTCTATTGGCTTGAGCTTAGGGGTTGAACCTGAAAAAAAAAAACAGACAATTATTATTCAAGCTTGAATAAGTAATGGAATAGTCCATTAGTTAAATGAAAAGTGGTTTTACCAAAAACGTAAAATACAGCAATATGCATTTTTCCTATACTATATTCACTCTATTATTTATTTATTCCCATTTATTCACATTAAAATTACAACACCGTGTTTGTAGTTTTAATGAGAATATCGACTCTCTGACTGTTATGTGGTGAGGCCCCATGTTGGGGTTTCTCATGTTTCGTAAATTCAAATTGTATGTTGTAACAGGCTGGGGAAAATAAAATATTTTTCCAGGCAATAGCGGGATAGTTTGTTTAGAACACAAAAAATATGTTTTTTTGATAGGCTGTTGAAGGTTCCATATTTTCTATCAAACAGTATCTACTAACCTTTGCAATTAATATTGTGGCGATCAAATGCTGAAAGTGTTTTTGGAACGTTTGCTTTGAACTCAGTTACGTATAGGACAATGAGTGCACCATTCCTTGCTATACAGCTTCATAAACTTCATTTCAGTCCTCCACAGAAGCTTGAACTTTAGGAATGGTTTAGTCCTGAGAAGAAGATAGTCTGTCCTCTAAAATTAATTTACCTGCAGCTATTGAAAAGATAACGAAAGAGGTTATTTTGTCGGAAGTAGCACGAATCTTTGGTCCTCCTAGTTAGTCAGTCCAGTTATTGTTAAATAAAAAATTGTATTTCAAGCTTTATGGTGACGAAAATTGTTCTGGGATCAGGAAATGTCTGTTAATAATTGTCAAAGTTATTTGTATAAGTTACGGTAGGTCTAATTTGTCAGAGTTAAACTCGTTAAAAATACGGAGACCCTCATTTTGTAATGCATCATCACAGTTTTCGATGCATGTATTATCCTAAGAGTTATTGATTGAGACCAAATTGTTCGTGTCAATCTGTTAACTTCTTAAACCAGAGTATGTCCACTGAAGTCTTTGCGTGTCAGTGTCAGTAACTCTGTTACCTACTAGCTAAGTTCATTAGGTATTCAAATTCGATTACTTTCCAAATCAAAATTTTAATAATTCCACTCCACCGTACCCTTTGTTTGGATCAGATAATAACCTCATAACCTGCATCAGCCATCAGTAACCGTGTGGTAGAGAGTGCAGACATTTCAAATTGGAGCTATGTACCAACTTATTCGAACCTTGCTGTATTCTATCCAGAGGTTTGTCAGTTCAATATTTGAGAATTCAAAATTATGATTTCAGGGCCCATCATGGCTAGATGAATCTTTAGAAACTTGGATATATCTGAGAGATGAATCCAGCTGTATCATTACATAAATTGTCAAAAGGCAAAAAACATATTCAAAGCTTTGTTCTAGTTCAAGATTTATTTTTTTCTGTTTGACATGCTTTCATCGTTTGCACGTCAAGGGCTGCAATATTGCTAAATAAGAAAATCAACTTTGTGGCCTTTTCGGAGTTCAACGTATCAGCTCCAGGGGGTAAGCAAGAGAAAGTAATTGTCTCGGCTTACTTCCCTGGAGGCCACGAAAAAACCCCACCCCCAAAGGAAGTTAAACGACTCGTCAGCTACAGCAAAAGGATGCACAAACACTTTATATTCGGTTTTGATGCCAATTGCCACCATACCCCTAATATGGGACAGCACAAACATCAACAAAAGAGATGAGTACCTCATCGAATATGTGTTATTTTGTAATCGACTACCCCAATTCAATAGAAACAGAAGGTGAGTTAGAGTATGTCATGAATAAAATAAACACCTAATAATAACAGCCTATGAGAACAGCAGCCGTCCTGTGAAAAAAGGGTCGTGGATAGGAAAACACCCTTATAGACACTTAGTTCACTCAAGGGCCGAAACACGAAAGTTATTCAATAGGGCGAAACGCAATAAAAACTGGGGCGAATGCGAATACAGAATACAAGGAATTTAGAGGGTCTAAAAGGAAATCCTGGAGAAATTTCTGTAAGATTAATGACATTCTCCAGACAACGTGACTACAGGAAGTTCTTTCAAAAAAGGGCCATTGGATTGCTACAAAAACCTCATGGCTACACAGCGAGTAGATTGGAAAATAAGAAATTGCTCCTACAATCGCACTTCCCAGACTTTATAGAGTGTGAGCTAAATGGCAGCAATAAGTGGCTAAAGTCGCTCCACTCCCAACAAACGTTCTGCATTCCTGTCACTTCTATATTGCTGCGTCTGTGGGACTTTCGTCGGGCCGTAGATTTTCCTGAGTATTCGCCTTTCGAATCTACGGATGAGCTCCTTATTCCGTACCGTTAGCGTCCACGATTCGCAGCCGTCATAGAATGCAGCCGTACATGATAACAAGTCTGATGACAGTTTTGCATACTTTGATTTCGGATCTTCTAGTAACTTCTTTGGATCCAAATATTTTATTAAGGGCATAGGAGCAGTTGTTTGCGGTTTTTAGTCGGCACTTTAATTCCTCGCCGATGTCATTGTCGGCTGTTATGATCGAACCCAGGTACCTGAACTGCTTGACTTTTTCAAAGATGTACTCATTCATTGTCACATTTTGTCCCACTCTCCATCTGCCTGTCCTAGAGATATGCATGTATTTAGTCTTACCTTCGTTTATCCTTAGACTTATTTTAGATGCCTCGTGCTCTAATTTAACAAACGTTTCTTTGCTATTTATTACGCTAGTTTCCACCTCGTGAATGTCATCCTCATGAGCAAGTATTAGTTCCGAACCATTCGTTTGGAAGAGCTCTGTTTTTGGAGTTCCTCACAACCTTCTCCAAGGCAATATTGAAAAAAGTCGAGGACAGCGCATCACCCTACTTCAATCTCATATTTGCCCTGAATACGTCTAACATTTATCACTCCCAGCTTTCACTCCGCATCTGGAATCAAAATAAAATAGTATACATAAATCGGTGGAAAGTTTTCACATTATTGTCTCGAGAATTGGTTGACCTCGGCGCTTCGCACCTCGGTAAACCATAGTGTCTCTCGACAATAATGAAACACTTTCCACCTCCGCATGTAATATACTATTTCTGAGGGGAACAATGAAAAGTTTAATACGTTACACGCTACAAAATCCCTTTTCCTTCTCCGCCCTACAAAAGTATTTTTTTTTTATCTTGCATAGGCGAGCGAAAGCGAAAGTGAAACATGCTAGTAGTTACTTTCACTTTCGCTACTAGCATGATTCACTTTCGCATACCTATTCGCGATTTTTGAGGGGAAAGGATGAAAAGTTTAACACATTACACGCTGCATAAGTCCTGTTAGGTGCTCGGAGGTATTCAAATAGCCGAGGCTGCGCTTCGCTTCGCCTATACCTCGCATCTAAAAGTACGCTTTCGCAGCTTGGAATGTAAATAACTATATAGTTCAATTCAATTTCAATTCTTGATATCGTGGATTGGCAGCTACTTTCAGACACACAAGGAGTTCTTCTTCTTACTAATTTTATAGTGCCGTAAAAAAATAAGATTTTTTTTGTTTTATCCCGAAAAGGAAGGCAAGATGGTTTTTTTCTGAAAATTTTCTTACCTACTTAAAATAGTTGTTTATTTAAATTTTGGGCTAGGATGAAGATTCAGACTTGCGGTTTTCACCAGATTCTTTATTTTTTTATCCTCTTTCCATCTAAATTATAAAAAAAAAACATCATTAATATTTGAAATTTTCGAGAAAAAATGGAAAATTGTCGACTTTTAGACACAGCGCCCCCTAGCGGCAACAAAACAATTTAATTTTGTTATTGTTATGCATTTTATGGAACAGAAAAAAAATCTTCCAAATGACACCCGATTCATTGAAATCGGTTGAAAAACAAAAAAGTTATATAACTTTTGTTCCTAACAAGTTTGAACCTTCCCCCACCTCTTATTTGAAGAGAAATCCTTAACAAAATTTTTTAGTAAATTCATCAAGTTTTCAATAATCATATTTTCAGGATACCTTAAGAAGGCGTTTTTTGAAGATAATCACAGTTTTAAGTTTTCGAGTGTTCGTTACGCCCCCTAGCGGTCAACTTATAAACTTGAAAACTATTCTCAGCAATTTTTCATGGCCTATTTTATAAAAAAAAAATATTTGGAAGCTCTAGGACTAATAGTTCCTGAGATATAGCCAGCGACCTTTCTTATTTGGACACCCGGTACTTTTTCCATGTCTGCAGCATTTGATCTTGCCTGGTTACTAGATCTTCGTTGTCGTCCTCGATGATGTTGTTGGTTCTGGGTCTAAAGCCATTCTTTCTTGTTCTTATTGTCTTATAGAATTTCCTGGTATTGTTCCTTTTATCGACTTCCAGCTCTCGCAACTCCTGATTTTGTTGTTCTGTTTTTTCCTTAGTGGTTTATTGCCCTTTTTTCTTGGTTGTCTGAATATACTGTTATTGTCTCCGGTAGGATTCTCCATCATCACTAGTTTTGCATTATTTTTCTCCTTAAGTACCCTCACATTCCAGATCGTACCAGTGGTTTCTATTTTTGTTTCTTGACTTTACTCCCACAGTCACTCTTGCTGCCCCTATGACTGCTTCGGATAGTACTTTCACTACTTTTCAACTTGTGTCGCTGTCATCTGTGTTCATAATTTTTTGGCTTTGGCGCTCTATTTCCTCGCAGTCATCATCAGAGGAAAACATGACAGTATTATTGGTTAACTCATGCAGAATGCCCTCAACATCATCAAAAACTGGTGCTTGTTAGAGGGTCTGAAGGAGAATCCTAACAAGACAATAATTGTAGCATCCACAAGGAAAAGGAAGCTAAATGTATTAGCTCCAAAACTGAATGGATTACAAATAGGGCTTTTTTAGTAAAGTTAAATATCTAGGTGTCGTCCTAGATCAAAAACTCACCTGGAACTCACATTTGAAAAGAATAATTGATCGAGCAACAGTCGCGTACTGGACATGCCGGAGACTATTCAGTATTCAGTAAAACATGGGGTCTAAAACCAAAAAGGATCTATGACGGTTGTAAGCAGTGTTGCCACTATG